CTCGCAGAGTTAGTCATAGCTATAGCTCGGTATAGAAAGAGAGCGGTTCTATATATCTGCTCTCTTCTACCGCCCGAAGCGGACCGAAGCGCCGAGCGCACACGTACACGGCTGTTCGCCTGTGTGCGTATCTCCTCCACTCGCTGTTGCTTGCTGTAAGCGGGGCCGAGTTGGCATCTCTGGCACAGTCAACACTCGTTTCAGGAGCGAGGAACTCACGTCTGTCACGGCACGCACAACAATAAAGCTGATTCTTGCGACAATTACTATTGATGTCTCGCGCTGTTTGCCGCGCCAGGTAACGAGCCAATCGTATTCTTATTTTTGCGGCGCTGTGATTGACAGCGGCCACGTGCGTCTCGGCAACACTTTGGGTCGGGCCCTTCGTTGGCCGTAACCGGTCCGTTCTACGTCAATTTTCACTTAGATAAGCTTACTTCGGCTCATCTTCTTGCATCACGAGGCCAAGAACTCCAAAGGGAGCTCCGCTCCGGTTTTTGTGAAATCGGAGTGCTAGCATCTCCCGTTTTTCTATTTCGTCGCCGACATCCTTGCCGAGCGCTTTGTACCTGTGACGTCCTTACGTCCCTGTGCCGTTGCCTGTTTCTATTGTTGCTCCTCTTTGCTCTACCTCGTCCGCCTCTACGCACCGTGAGCTGTTCTTTCTCTCTCTCTCTCTCTCTTTCTCTCTCTCTCTCTCTTTCACTCTCTCTCACTCTCTCTCTCTCTCTCTCTCTCTCTCTCTCAGCAGGGTGGCGAGGTCGAAAAGTCCCACAATGATGGTCGGAACGGTGAGGCGCCGATAGTACATACAAAAAAAATGTAAAAATAAAACGCTATTCTAATCAGACGCATGCAAGCCCTGGAAGATCTTGGCGCTCTTAATCCAGCTCGCTTTCCCGGGCACCTGCAAAATCTTTAATTTTTGTGACGGGGAAAAAGCGGCGCGAATACCACGCCACAATATATATATATATATATGATGTCACAAATGTTCGAGAACGAAATATTGTACACGCGATCATTTGTTTAACCTTTTCGCTCCGGGGATTTTTCCTTTAAAATTGACCTCGCATTGTAGCTGAAAAAGTTAATAATAACCTGCTACCCCCCTCCTTCAAAGTTAATTTTGAAGGTCAAAGAAGTAACCAGGATTTTTTTCAATTTTTTTCCTAAATTTAGTGCATTAAATTGACCTTATAAACATCTATTACGTTCGCTTTTCTTGCTGGTCCATATATGGACCAGTCCCGGAGCGAAAAGGTTAATACATTTTAGAAGTGATTATAAAATTATAATACAAAACAATATTATAATCATTACTAAAATGTATTACACAAATTGTAACAATGCTATCGTTACGGCCGGGACCGATCATCCGTCCCGGCCCAAAAACGGCGCATAATAAAAAACTTATAATAAATTACAGCGTATATCAAATACACGCTCTACAGGCGATTGACGCACCGCCCGCACCGCGCGAGTTCCCCGCGTTAACAAGCGGCCCGCGTGCCGCTCTCACCGTGCTCCCCGCGCCAACAAGCGGCCTGCGCGCCGCTATCACCGCGCGCTCCCCGCGCCGACAAACGCCAGTTGATACCGCGCCCGCACCGCGCGTCCCGCCGCGCCACGAAGCAACCTGCGCGACAAATAAATTGATATTTCTCCCGCGTTTTCACGATCCCGCTTCTCGGGAAATTGCGGGTATATAAGCCGGGGCAAAAATCAGCTTGGCAGATCAGTCCGATCTCCGAATCTAATGAGAAGCTCAAGGGGAAGCTCTTCCTCGATCGGAAAAACTGATAGCGACTCAAGATTCGATCCTCACTGAGAGAAGAAGTTACTTTTTCTCTCTGCCGGGAAAACTGGTATCCGTTCTGCTCCGCTCCGGAAAATCTTGTATTCTCCGCCGGGTAAACCGGCCTCTGTTTCGAGCCGTTCCTGAAGATCGCTATTCTTCGCCGAGAAAACCAGGTAAAGCGCGCTACGGCACGCGAAGCGCCGACCGCACACCGTATTCGCGGTAAACCGAATAACAGCGAAACAACTTGTATCGTTTCAGCAAAGCTTTACTTTTCTGTCGGTAATCTGCTTTCATTTCTGCAATTCCGTAACTTTGTAAACCTTACTATTCTAAAAATTCACTTTTCTAAAGTTACTTACTCTAAATTTACTTTCATAAATTTATTTTTTTTAATTTACTTTTACTTTGTAAATATTTCTTTCAGTACAATAAAAACGCACTATTATTTTTGGCTCAATCATAAAACTGAGTCTACTCTGAGTTTTTTACCTCAACCGAACCTTGTTCCCGACGAGCTACTCCGCAGCTTTAATAAATAAACGAAAGGGCTTCGACGAAAAAGTCGAACCGTTACAAATGATCGCGTGTACAATATTTTGTTCTCGACGATTTGTGACATTATATACATATATATAGGTATATGGATATATTGTTTAAGTTTATATATTTTTTATATATTTTTATTTAAATATTTTTTCTAAATATTGTGGCGTTTATATAACTACACATATACAGGGTGTCCCAGAATTGGTGTAACATCTCTCGTAGACAAGTAGAAGGAGTAAACCTGAGTCGATAAGTCCTATATCACTTTGCTAGATTTGCAATAGTTACCGAGATCTTAATTAACAAAGATCCGCAAATAAGCGTGTATCAGGCTGTCTTACGCGCTTAGGACAGCCCAGCGCGCTTCGCACGATTACATTTTAATATGTATATGTTATAGAGTATATGCTGTTATATTAGCTCCTCCCATATGTCGCTATGGGTAACACCGTTAGCGCGCAAAGCGCACTGGGCTGTCTTACGCGCGTAAGACAGCCCGATGCATGCTTATTCGCTGATCTTTGTTAATTATGATCTCGGTAACTATTGCGAATCTAGCAAATTGGTATAGGACTTATCGACTCAGTTTTACTCCTTCTATTTGTTCACGAGAGATGTTACACCAATTCTGGGACACTCTGTATATACATATATAATATTTTTGTTACGTCCTGGCCCATGGATACGGTCGGGTTGTGGTGTGACGCAACAGTGAATTAGGGATGTGCGATACGGTATCGATATTTCGGAATATCGATACTTTCGAAATCAAATATCGATTTTTTGTATCAATACATGTGTCAACTAATACAGGCACATATCGATACTTACATATCACTATCGATATGATGTATCGGTCANTTATAGCCAATAGCAAATCATCTTTAGTTATAATTCATCAATTATGAGTGAGCTTCAACTTTAATGCGGGGTCTACAATGCAGTTGTAGAGTCGTAAATCGTATGGCTTGATCTACAATAATAAATCGTAAGTTGTAAGAAATTAATCAAAATCAATNACAATCGATTATTCTTATATAAATTGTCTGTGATTGGTGAATTTCTTATGACTTATGACTCCACGACTGCATTGCAGAATCTGCATAACATGGTTATTGCATTGGTTACGTTCAAAAAACTCAACGGTTGAGAGATCATCACTTGTGTGTGATAGGATTATTCTTCAAAACCTGCTACGGTTTCAAAAGTATGATCCAATCATAAGTGATTATCTCTCAACCGTTGTTCAACTGTTGAGTTATCTTAACGCACCTATTGTTTCGAAACTTCGAAATCTACAACCATCTATATAGAACTTTTAAGTTCTTTCTGGAATTTTTAAATGCAAACGGTCATTTTTCAACCATTTTCCGTTTCGAGAAATGCATTTTTAAGCTTCGAGGACTTCAAAGTTCGAGCAGATTCGCGAAATCGTGAGTTGGTGAGTTTCAAGCGCGGAAGTGAAACAGTGAAATCTATTTACAAATANAATCTTGAGGACTGTCTAGAACCTGAACACGAGGAAATTTCAGAATATTTCGTAAGCAGTATTTATGTAAGTAATACATTAAATTAATTATGTCTGCGAAAAACAAAAAAGTGAACGAATATAGTATTCTCGATATCTCTGTCTACTTTTTCTATCCTGTGAATCACGTGTTAACATATATAATCCTATTTGTAAAAACACGTGGGACAATCGCAATTGAATAAAGTTTTGATTTCAATTCTTGCGAGATTAGTAAATTAGCTTACATTTTGCAATATTAATTTTCGATTGCTTCTTTTGTGTTGTGTTATTTATAATAATTATTTACACTTTTTTTGGTCTTTTTACTTTGCATTTGATTTTTGGTACTTGATATAATATATCATGCTTATAATTTTNTTTTAACAACCGTCATTATATGATCCTAATTCCTCAGCTCCTTTGACATGTTTCTCCTCCTTTATATCGGTGCTTGGTGATAAGNATGAACAACAAACAAGTAAGCTTTTGTGGGCAAATAATACGTATATAAATTATATATATATAAATTATAAAATTTAGCATTAATTACTTATTTTTCAACATTTTATTACTAAGTTTCTGACTTAATATTCTTTATTTAAGATTTTTTTAATCATAATATTTGCTTATTTATTAAAGTATGTTAATATCATTTTTCTATTTTTTTAGTGNCACCAAAAATAAAGCCCAGTTTCGTATGGAAGTACTTTATTCGAGCAGAAACTGGGGGAAAATGCAAACTGTGTCAACAATTTATTAAAAGTAGTGGGAATACTACCAATTTAAAATTTCATTTATCTCGAAAACACGATATACGTCAAGATATTGAGACTAAGCAGTTTGAATCAAACAATGTAAAATTGATATGTAATGTTGATGTACAATACGTACGTATAGTTTATTGATTAATTGTTTAATGAGTGCTATTTTATTTATTTTAGAATCCAGATATTTGTGAAGAAGAATGTAACATCGATTCCTGTCATTCACCAGTCCCTTCGACATCGAATGTTGCAGTGTCACCGAATACATCAACAAAACGAGCAATGGCAATAGCGACACAGACTTCAAACCAATTAATAGGTGAAAGTTCTTTGACAAAAAAGATGCGGTTGCAGCCAGACGTAGGAACCTCAATTCGCGAAATGAAGTCTTTCGGAGGTATCTGATGATCATATCTTTGCTAATATATTAATTATTTTGTGCACTCTCTTATAATTTATTATAAAATATATTCAAAATTATTTCTTACATTTTCATAGATTTTTATACTTTATTCATACTTTTTTACTGATTTGTATAAATTGTCACTATTATGAACTTATACTAATTGTGTTTTGTATTTTCTTTCCTCATAAAATTTGACAAAAATTATTTTTTACATTTCCACATATTTTTCATTTATTTATGCCTTTTTATTGGTTTCATTGATATAAATTGTAATTTTATTTATACTTTGCATACATAGTTATATTTTTTTAAATATAACATGTTACTCTATTATAACTTATTGTAAAAGTTGTTCAATGTTATTTTTTACTTTTTGATTTATGATATATGTTTTTATACAATTGTATTTTTTTCTTAGAAGGAGGTGCAAAGGCTGGAAAAATTACGAACAGCATTATATACATGATTGCGAAAGATAATCTTCCTTGCGCGACTGTGGAAAAGGAAGGTTTTCAACATCTTATGCGCATCACTGTTCCGTTATACAAAATTCCTGGCAGGAAGACAATCACTAAGCTCATCGAGGAAAAGTATATGGTATTGTCAACATCTNTTAAAGCNAAATTAGAAAATGTAAAAAACATTACATTGACAGCNGATATATGGACTGACACAATAAATACGAAAAGTTATTTGGGAGTGACAGGACATTACGTGTGCGGAAAAAATATGAATAGCGTGACGATTGGTGTTACGGAATTGACAGAAAGACATACTGGTGACTACTTAGGATCGTGGCTCTTAAACATTTGTGACGATTGGCATATAAATCCTGATTGCGTTACAGCTGTTGTAACAGACAATGGGGCGAATATGGTTAAAGCTGTCACAGATGTTTTTGGGAATCGAAAACACTTGCCATGTTTTGCTCATTCTTTAAACTTAGTTGCAACGCAAATATTGGAAGGTAATTTGGAAATAGAAGCCTTATGCGAAAAAATTAAAGCAATTGTCGTTTATTTTAAGCGTGCAATTTCTCCTGCCGATGATTTAAGAAAGTTAGAATGTCCTAAGTTAATTCAGAGCGTGCCGACACGATGAAATTCGACTTTTTATATGATAGAACGTTTTGTAAGTTTGTCTGATAAGGTGAGCACAATTTTATTGNAATATCCGAACTCACCCATGATGCTTACTGCTGCTGAATTGCAATTAGCCAAAGAAATTTTGTTAGTACTGGGTCCGTTAGAAGTTGCAACGAGAGAAATTAGTGGAGAGCACTATGTAACAGCAAGTAAAATAATTCCTTTGATTAATTGCATTAACAACAGTATGAAAGCGTTAGATACTAAGTTAGTCACAGATGCGTCAATCCAATTACGAGCAGCTGTAATTAAGAATTTAGACAAACGGTTTAGTCAAAAAGAATTTGTANACACTTTAGCCATCGCCACACTTTTAGATCCTAGATTTAAAAAATTGCATTTTAATAATAAAATAGCGTGTTCGCAAGCTATTCAAAAAATCGCACAGAAAATAAAAGTGAAGCAAATCAAACAAATAACACCAGAGCTAGATGTTANAAAAGANCAGCTGGAACTTCAAGATAAATCAGATTCGATTAATCTGTGGTCTTATCATAATCAGTTAGTAAACTCAGTGCAATCGATACAAAATGAAAAGCAAGAAAGCGAATTGCCAACTGACCTGAAACATTTTTTAAATCATCCGACAGTTAATTTAAATGGGAACCCTTTATTGAATTGGGAAGAAACGTTAAAACATATGTATCCGACATTATACCCAATCGCGATGCAATATTTGTCCGTAGTAGCAACATCTGTTCCTTCCGAGCGACTTTTTTCNAAAGCCGGGAATATTAGCGTACATGATAGGAATCGTCTCTCGTCCAAACATTTGCAGCAGTTATTATTTTTAAATTCTTTAAGTTTGATAGACTGGAATATATAAGGTTTGATTGCGTTGCCTAAATTTTCCATACTTGTACAAAAAGTTTTAAGTAGTCTGTANTTTTATAAGTTAATAAAAGTTTGCGCTTTTCGTACAAGTATATATATATGTATAAAACATCATAATTATAATATATTTTTTATAAGGGTGGATTTGAGGATCTAAACAATTCGTTCTTGCTAGTTTTTGTGTTCATGACTTAAAATTTAATTAAAGAATAGTGATATGTTGAACTGTGATTATTATAGCAATATTATAAAAATAATGAAAAAAATTTGAAAATCCAATTATAATAAAAAAACTTATTTCATAAAAAATTATGCAAGTGAATTATTTTATTTATATACAAAAACACAAAAATTTTAATTAAAAGAAAGAATACCTACCAAAATAACAGTTATAAAAAAAATCTACTATTAGTTTCACTAATATTTACTAAAATAAATTTAAAATTATAATTATTCTAATATTTGATTANTAGAGTTTTAATACAATAAAGCAGAACATTACTGAACATGATACTTACGTATTTTTTGATAACTGTTTTTATTTTTTGACAGGTCTGTTTGTGTTGCTTGAACTGGCTACACTAGTTCAAGTGTTATCTTTTTTATCTTTTTTCTTCTACAGATTTTGAAAGGAGAAAGATAAACTCTAAATTAGTGCAGCCAGTTCAAACAACATGAATAGACCTATAGTATAAAATTTCAAAACAATATTTTGTATCGATTTTTGAATTATCGATACTTTTGTTTCGATATTTTACTTGTATCAATACACAGCGCCTCGATACAGAATCGATACAAATATCGATACAATTGTATGTATCGCACATCTCTACAGTGAATGCGTCGATTTCCATATCTCTCTTTAGTGGACACGGAAGTCCCGCTGTGAGAGAGTCGAGCGAGTTTGTTTATATTCGTCGACAGGTCAACGGCGTACGCCGATCTTACTCTGTCTAGCGAACACTCACTCGTTAGTCCCTTTTTAGGTCTGAGACGCAAGTCTCATTTACCAAGGACGGGACCTAGCAATTTTAACGAGGAAGTGAGAGTGGGTTGTACGGAGAGGAGGATAACAAAAAATAACTCTATAGTTTAATTCCACACATTATAAAGTAGTTATATTTATGTAAAAAAAAGACAAATCAAAATCTTAGCAAATTACTCACATACAGGTGTGTTGAAACTAATACAATGACGGAGCGCATAATCGTTTCGTACACAGTAATCTATAAGCTAGGGCTGCAAATGTGAGAGAGAGAGGGAATACGAGTTGTTTAGTGCAGCCGACCTTTTTAACCCATGTTTACGCAACTTAGATCATCTTAGAAATGTATTTCCTTATGTCAATTGACAAATTCGGTTTTGTTTCATTTCTTAGGTTCCGATAGATTTAATGATAAGAATAAATTTGAATGTATCATGATTCTAAGACTGATATTCGGAGATAAGCGAGCTTGTTTGTTTCCGTGATTTAAAAAGGAAGTCAGAGGTTATCCAGAGCAATTCAAAACCGCGGACGCCTGTCAGCAGTCATCCGGAGCAATTCAGGATCGCAGATATCCTCTCTGATCAAGGAAGGAGAGGAAAGGTTATCTTAAACAGTTCAGTACTGCTGTGTCTAATTTGTGCGAGATTTTATCGTTTTTCTCTCTTTTCCTCAATCTCTATTTCTAGTTCGTGGGATCTCAGTGAACAATTGGTTTCTTAAAAACACTTACTACATGGTTAAGTGGCGGCAGTGTCGGATTGGCTGCAGGTACTCGGGAGTGGAGCGTTGAATACCAGTGCGGCTTCGGTGTCCCGGCTTTGACACTCACGGAACCGAACTTTTCAAACTCTTTGTACCACGACACTCCCGATCTTTTAGATTAGCGGCTCTCAACTGACTCTGATTCCGAGAGTCTCGGCTTATATACAATTTTGAGTAAGCGAGAACTCTCCCAATCGGAAAACTCAGTCGAGCTTTACCACTTCCCATTTGTTAGTTAGTAGTCGGGTAAACTTTGTGAGATCGCCAATCGGCGACGATCTCTTGGCTCGGTCGGCTCGTCCGATTTTTCGGAGAAGGGAAAAGAGAGAGTGTTGGTTTTTGATCACGCCACGTAGACTTTTTGCTATTTGTTTATAATAAAATTGCTCGTGGCGCCGGAGTTCTATTTGCTCCGGTTGGTCTTAGCTTTATGAGCGGTGTTCTTCCTGGCCCGGAGATATCCGGGTTTGTTTGGGATGTTTAAACAATAAGTTTAAAATTTCGGGTTATTACTAGGCGCGGTTTATCTTTTCGGGCGCCAGTGTGATTTCCGTTTGCTCTCCTATCGTCTGAAGTCCAAGTCTCTAAACAATAGGAGGTCTGCTTGGATTATTTATTGCTTTTTATTATTTATTAAAAAGGAAATTTGTTATACGTTGGCGCGTCAACGTATAACGTTGGCGTTGCAAGAAAATGGGGAGTCCCCAGGACGTAACATTTTCATTGTTTATTTCTTTTATTCCGCATACACAAAAATAAAACAAGTGTGAATGTTTATGTATATTTTAAATATTTTTTGCTGTAATACTATACAAAACGTGTTTGTGCGTGTAAACAGGAGAAAGAAGTAGAAGCAGCAAACTTAAAAAAAAAAAAAATCCAAAACCAGCAGGGCGCAAACACGCGACTCACGGAGTACTAGCGCGGCGCCTTGTTCACTGCGCCACACGCCGCTATTTTGGTAAACTTCTTTTTAGAACTTTACTTATGGTACGTGCTAAATTTCAAACCGCAATTTCTCCTAAACGATTGAGAGGTGCGTCATCTCCGAATAGCATTTAGTGTTTCTCCATCCATACTACATTCCTACAAAGTTTTGTTAAAATCGGTGACCCGAAGGGTGTATACTCCCCTTGTTAGAGTTAGTCTCATATGTGAGAGACCCCGGATCCTCTAACTAATTTTTTAAAACTTAGTTAAAAGATTCAAATTTAACTCGATACAGGCCTCAATCAAAATAAACAGTTAAAGTGATCATACAGCCTATTTTACTTTTTGTCCACGGATGGAAGTGAGTGAAAATAATTCTCAAACTTATAGTTTTACGGGACGTTTTGATCAATCTTTATTTTTAATCATCTTCAGCCTAGTGAATGTCAACGGTACAAACTACTAGCACATGTCAACATGTTCTAGTATATATGACTCACTTTGTAAGTCGCTCTCTGTGCTAAACCATACAACTTTACTATTGGACATTTTCTCCAAAATGTATTCTAACTGAAGATATTAAGGGGGTCCGATACTGTTCGATGACCTTGTATATATATATTACTTTTAATATAATAATAATTATATAGTAAAAATGTTATACAATGTGTTTTTATTGATAGAATACATTGTGAAAACAAAGCGTTTATGTTTAAAACAAAAGGGGTTTTGCAACAACGTTGCAAAAAATATGTATTATATTATGTGTAAGATACAACGTGCTAAATAGTAAATGACGTTAAATGACATCTCTAACGTTCACAAGACATAATAAAAACATATATTATTTGATATATAATTTTACTATTTAAGATGCAATACAATTATTGGAATCTTGAATAAGTTCTCGCTGTTTCCCAACAGATGGCGTTACCAAAACTGCGTGCGTATAGTTTAAAATGGTATATAACGCATCTATAAGGAAGTGACATAAGCAAGCTTAAAATTCAATGTATGTCATTTTGCCAAAGTGTAAACAACTTTTTTTCATAGTGTTAACCATGTCAAGTTTTGTGCCAAAAAAGAGTATTTGCGGGGAATTTTATTGCACTATTTTATTCAAAACAATTTGTAGCTGAAGCACACAGAATGCTTAATGAGACTTACGGCGACCATGCTCTGTCGGAAACAACATGCAGATTGGTTTAGACGCTTCAAAAATAATAATTTTGATGTTGAAGATAAAGAACGCTCTGGCGCATTAAAAAAGTTTGAAGACGAAGAATTAAAGGCATTACTTCATAAAAACTTATGTCAGACGCTAGCTGAACTTGTAGAATCATTAGAAGTAGATGACACAACAGTTTTGAAACGTTTGAAAGTATTAGGAATGATTCAAAAGCAAGGACATTGGGTGCCGTACGAGTTGAAGCCGAGAAACGTCAAACGGCGTCTTTTCACGTGTGAACAGCTGCTTCAACGGCAGAAAAGGAAAGGTTTTTTGCATCGTATCGTGACTGGCAATGAAAAGTGGATACTCTACGATAACCCTAAGCGTAGAAGATCGTGGGGTAAGGCCATGCATCAACATTGTCGGCAAAGCCGAATATCCATGGTTCGAAGCTTCTGCTTTGCATTTGGTAAGATCAGCTGGTGTAGTTTTATTATGAACTAATATTTTATTATGAACTGCTCAAACCGAACAAAACCATCACGGGAGATCGCTATCGACTAGTAATTGATGCGTTTGAGCCGAGCATTGAAAGAAAAACGGCCGCTATACGAGCAGAGACACGACAAAGTGATTTTGCAACATGACAACGCTTGGCCACATGTTGCACAATCGGTGAAAACCTATTTAAAAACGCTCAAATGGAAAGTCCTACCCTACCCGCCGTATTCACCAGACAATGCTCTTTCCGATTATCACTTGTTTTAATCAATGGCACATGGCCTAGTTGAGCAGCACTTCCATTCTTATGAAGATGCCAAAAAATAAGTCGATTCTTGGATAGCCTCAAAAGACGTGTCGGTTTTCCGACGTGGAATTCAAATGCTGCCGGAAAGATGGAAAAAAGTAGTGGTTAGTGATGGGCAATACTTTCAGTGACATGGGTTTTACGACTTATTTAAAATAAAGTATTATAATTTTCACGAAAAAACAGCGAGAACTTATTTACGATCCCAATATTATTCTTGTAATAATGTAATATTATACATAAATAATATATTGATAATAATATTGTAATATTGTATTATAATATCTAATATTATTAATAGTGTGCAATTTTATTGTGATATATCTGTAATAATTTGTGCGGTAAATATGCATTTTAGGTCACACATCTCCGATTTCGATGTGCTTCAAATATGTTGTAGGGCAAGTCATACCGAGTAATTATGGCAG